CTGCAGGCTGACCCCTCAGGACCGCAGGAGATGCCTGGGAGCTGGCCCCAGAGGATCATGGGACCCTCGGGATCCTGGCCACAAGCCCAGAGGCACCGGGAGGCCTGGGGAGCCGCAGGGTCCCTCAGGACCGCAGGGTCCGCCTGGTGGTAAAGGTTCAGGCAGGACCAGGGCCACCAGGCGGCGCTGTCTGCTCCTTGGGCCCGGCTCCTGGGGCTCCTCTGGGGAAAAGCGTGCAGGTGCCGGCTGGAGGCAGCCGGAGGTGACCCCACAGGCCTGGTGAGGTCTGCTGGGGTCGCCCCTTCCCCAGCCCGCCATGCTGGGCTGCCTCGGGGTGGGGTGGGAGGGTCCTCCCTTCTGGGAGGCAAGGTCCTCCCTTCTGCGGCCTCACTCTGGCCGCGATCGCGGTGGCCTGGCTGGGGAACCCTCGCTAGGGGCTCCCGCCGGCTTTCCCGGAGAGGGAGGCTGGCATCTCCTCTCCAGTCTCCTTCCAGCCACCTCTGGAGGCTCCCTGAAGCCCCCGCAGACAGCACCCTGCTCTCTCCTCCCGGACCCTGGCGGTGTGTCCGCACGCAGGCCCGTCCGCTCCTGCTGCCCCGTGCCGACCCTCCCCCTCCCACCTCCACCCCAGGGGACCCTCAAGGGCTGCATGAGCTCCACCTCCCGCAGGAAGCCCTCTCTGGTCACCCCTGCGCTTGGGCCTGCCCTGATGTTGGTGCTGGATTCCTCCCGGGTCCTCTCCCGGGCGCCTGGCAAAGGGCAGTGGGGTGCCCTTCCATGGACTCCCCGGTCAGCCTGGATCATACCTGTCAAAGCCACGCTAACTGTCCAGCTGGGACTCTCTGCTTTGATAGGAGTGTGTTCCTGTGGGCCTTCCTCGGGAAGAGCGAGGTTCCCCCAAATGTCGGAGTGGCAGCCCCCAGGGGTAGTGTGCTCTCACCTGGCACCTGACTCTGTGGCTCGCCCGGCCTCTAGGCTTCCCCCCAACCCCGGCACCCGCAGGCGGTGCTCAGAGGCTGCGGTTGGAGCCCTCGCTCTCCGCCTCCAGCGATAAGAGTCTTGGTGGGTGAGAGGGTGTGGAGGCCGGGCTTTGGGGAGCCCCACCTCAGGCCAGAGCTGCTGGCCCTCAGGAGCCGGAACTCCCTTGGGAGGAGGGCAACACCCGAGCCCCAGGACCAGGCATCTGGGCCCACCCCACCTCCAGGGGCCCCCGGGGCTGGGCACCTCCGGTCCTCCCATGGGACTTGCTGAGGGGCGACGGAGGGGGTCCTGAGCCAGGAGGACGTCAGCGTTGGAAGGACAATGGCTTTCTGGTGCCGCTAGAACCACGCGCACAGAGCCTGGTGCCAGCAGGTGAGCTGCGGGCACTGCTTGCTGAGGCCGCCTGGGTGCGCGGGCAGGGCGGTGGGCGGCACCCTCCCCGGGCCACTTGCAGGGCCTCCTGGTGCCTAGGCTCCTGGAGCCCAGAGAAGCCTCCCGAAGCCTTTTGCACAGAAGCCTCCGCCCTGGCTGGGCTGGCCGGGTCCCCAGGGGGCGTCGCTGGGCCCAGCGCCACCTCGGGCTCTGGTCCAGTCACTCTGGGTAAGGTCCCTCCCCGGGCCCAGCACCGGGCACCTCCGGGCCAGGGTGTCTCAGCAGCCATT